CCGGCTCGGAAACGGGTGTTGAGAAGGAAAACTCGAAAATTGTAGGATTTGGGGCTCAGCTCGGAAGGGGTCATATCACCGGCTACTTACTTGCTGACAATTCCCAACCAGCCTGAGTGACAGCATGTAGTAAGGCTACATGGCACATATGCATCATCGTCTTTGTGCAGGATCCTTGTTCCCCATGATTCAGGGTTGCACATGACCAACTGGAGATGTATCATGTCTCCATGCAGCAACATGCATTCCCTGCATGCCATGCCCTGCAAATTTCAATAATTATGACTCCACCCTGGCCCCACTTTTGATGCTCCTTGGCTCTGTCACATCCAACCACCGTGTCTGAGTTGACCCCATGATGAGTAGTTGCATGGTCTCTCTCAATCTGTGTCATGATCTGCTTGCATGTATAGTCGATCCAAACTTGAGCATACACATGCTTGTGAATCTCTCAACATCAAGATCCTTCTGTAAAATTATAATGACTTGGATCAGTCGACATTATTGTTCTTGATGTAAATTTTGAGGGCACCCAGGTTGTTCTCATCTCTGGTTGAGTTATGTATCAACTTCCTGGACCCTGCCCCACTCCGAGTCACCTACCAACTGCTTAGGGACATAGTGAAATGGCCAAGCAGTCTAAGGCACCAGACTAAGGACCAATGCATAGGATGTGTAACCTCAATCTAGTCATTTGTGGCATGGGTTTGAATCCCACTCTCATCACTGCAATAGCCTTGCTTGAATGTTTTTGCATGGGAACTGCCCATGTTTGGGGCCTTGGGCAATGCAGAACCTGTGGCAGACCATGGTCAGAGAAGCAACTCTGGCATGGATGATATGAGGTAGTTGCTGGTCTGTGTATCAGCAATGTTCTTTCAGTGCCAGGAGTTCAAATCTCCCATTCATCATAAGGATACATGACACATCGGGCTCAGAGGTAGAAATTTCTTGAGGACATGGCCTTGAATTTTAGTTTTTCTCTGGCCTTGTGACAAATATCACCCTCTCCATCAACAGATCGACTCCTCGGACAAAGCCAGAATATGCACAACAGCCTATGGTGAGGAGGCCTAGCAGTGTCAGACTATAGGTCAATGATGTACACATGTCTCAGCTTATGAAATCTGGCTTGCTGGCATGGGAGTTTGAATCAACTTCTTTCTCCCTCTTATCATAGCTTCTGCAACTAGCTGTGATTTTTCTGGGAGCAGTGCATGGTACTCTACTACTAGTATTGGCCCAACTTTAGGATTTGCTTGGACATCAATTAAATAATGGCTGACTCATCTTGGACTCATCATTCCCTGGCAAAGGCATGGCTTCTTCCCCTCTTTCCCTCTTCAATGCATAATTCTCCTTCTCCATCTGCTCACCCAC